GGATCGGTAACCTGAAGGGGAAGGCCTGGGCACTCCCAGCAGTAACTCTGAATGTTATTGTAGGTAATCTGATTCTAGAGTGAAAATTAATTCTCCATTTGCTTTATCACCAGACCAGAAAAATCTACCTTCAGTAGGGACTCCTAAGAAAAAGCATTGAACCAATGGCTGGTCTCAGAGTCCAAAGACACTTAAGACCCTCATGGTGGAGGAGAGGATGGGGCTGTGGCTGTGCAAGGACCTTGCTGAGCATGAAGAAGAGCATGCATCTGTGGGAGCCTGATTCACTGACTGTATCACACTGTGCCTCCGTTTCCCCTGAATAAAAATAGAACAAATGGCAAATGAACTCTGGATTACCATGTTGCCTGTGAATTGTCCTGAAAACATCCCTGACTACCTGAATGTAGGTGCTGAGTCCCTTCCAGCTACACAGACCTATATTGTCAGGTCAACATGTGTTTCCACTGAAGCCTCATGTTCCAGGGTTGACCTAGAGATGAGTAATGATGGGCTATCCCATATTCCTTAAATCTTGAGAAGACTAGGCACTGTGGCCCTGAACTGGGTATCTGAGCAGAAAAAATACACAGGAGACAAGAAGCAACTCTGGTGAGTTTAGTACCCAGACTGAAGGTCCACGAGGAGTGGCTCTCTATCCAGGAGTGCACTGGTGACTGACATGAGACAGTGACTCCAGAAAGGGCAGAGCAGAATCCAGGGATTATTTAGAAAAGAGTGAGGGAAGGCGGGAGCTGGCTGGTGGTGGCAGCAGAGCCAGGCTCTCTGCCATTGGTCTTTAATGTCCTTTCTGCCACTGCAGAGGGCAGAGACCTTTCCTCAACACGCAGACAGTAGCACATACAGAAGGGGGGCTTGTGGAAGGTGGAGGAGCATGAACTTGTGGAAGATATGGCCCTCATGGGCCATTTGTGTTTGGCAGTTTGAGACAGATTTTGATCTAAACTGTGAAAGAATATGTGAAAATCACTCATGCCCCAAAGTTCTAAGAACTGTTTTTGGAGGAATATTTTTCTAGAGAGCATGAAGAAGACCAAGTT